TCTTTCTTAAGTCCAAATACAGTATAATCCAGTTTGTTAATGGCATGCAGCTATGTCTTCCTCTTGTGTCCTCAGTTTGCTTGCCCTCTGTTGTGGAAAGGTGCTGTGAGTAGGAGACTTGGAAAGAGTTTATGTGCAACCATAGGAAGAGAAAACATTATTCTGCAGAGTAGAATTAAATAGGGTGCCTCTTTACTTTAACTAAACTCAATAAGAACAAATCAAGTTAGGAATCTGGACATGGATTTTGATCATGCATTACCTCAGGAAGCCATATGTTGGATAGCAAAGTGTGAGTTTGGTGTTCTGATTTAGTTTTTGCAGTTGAGCAGTATTCATGAGGATATGCTTTAATTTATGCCATGAAAACGTTCCAACACAAATAGGTGGTGATTATGAAAACAGATCTGTGGTCACTTTAAGTTCATAGCAGGTTTTTGCCAAACTTTTTATAGTGCCACAGAGTGTGAGCTTCTACATGCTTTACTCTAGCTGCCTGTCAAGCATAAAATAAGATTATTGCTTTAGCATTCAAAAACCATGTAAATCTTCACTGACTAACACCATATGAGCTTCATATAAAATGTACTTTTTAACTGCCATGGCCATACTGAGTGATCAAGTTATGTGGCACGAGAATGTAGATTTTCCTTTTTCCTTTTAGGACTTTTTTTGTTGTTTAAAAAAATCTGCATTAAAACCCATCAACGAGTTATGGAGCAAATAAACTTGGGTATTTTTTGTTAATTTTTTAATGATTATTTAAATTTCATAATCTGTAAATCCAAATGCACTAAACCTTCTATTTGCCACAAAACCTATTTAGGTAACTGTCAAAAATTCATATCTAACTGTAAATGACTGCTGATATCCTCAAAGTTCCTTTAAAAACTGACTTTTTAGGGCCAAATCCTAGCTTACTCTTTGTAATTTCAAGAAAGAAAAGGTTATGCCACTTCATCTAACCTAGGAGCAGGAGTAATACCACCAATTTTACTGAACCCGTCCCATTTAAAGAGTAGAAACCGCATTCTGCGCTCTGCTTTATCAGACCTACTAGTTGAAGGACATGGTTTGAATTTCAGCTACCTGATACTTTTGACCAGTCTGAAATGAAGTCTCACATATATATTCATAGTGGAGGATTTTTCACAATGAATTGCCTTATTCTTATTAGCCATGGGACAACTTCTGTCAAACACTCCGTAGTGAACAGAGGAGTTCCTTGCACATACTGCATTTCCTTAGTCTGGCAGAGCTACGCCATAGGTGATTCATGCTTATTCTGACCCTGCTCTCATTGACATCAGTGGCAGAATTTCATTCAACTGAATAAGGCAGCTATTGGCTTTTGTTCTCTAATAAGGTGCCTCATGCCCTAGAAAGAAAAATAGTTGATTTCTTACAATCATTTTCTGTCACTGAGCATTAGTTATATAATGTCTCTTTGAATAGTGTTTTCTGTATCCAGTGTTTCCCAACTTCCTATGAGCTTGGAATTATTTTTTGTATTGATTTTTTTTTTTCCCCCCCCTAAGTTGTTTCCCTGTGAACACTGCAGTAAGTCCTTTCTCTTGTCAGTTAAAGGCATGCTAAAAACTCTGGCAAATGAAATGTGTCAAGTCATGCTTGCACAATTTAAGTGGTTACTAGTCCTGGCAGTCCATCGTACCACTTTGCAGAAGTTTCTGTCACCATGCAAAGGTCAGCAGAAACAAATGTGTGCCTGTTTCTCAGCAGGTCATAGCATGGCATTGGTTTAAACAGAAAATTCTGGTGGTTTAAGTTAAGACACCAAGCTTCAACCTGCAGTAACTGAACAGTCACTACTCAGATTTTCTGCTGTCCCTACCACCAGGCATGGCAGACATCTCAGGATGGAAACCTTTTAAACTGTCACTGGAAGAATAGACAGACTGCAGCTTCTAGAGTTCTGAGGTGGAAAAAACACTTCTCATTATTAAAGATTATTATATTTGCTACTGAAATCTTAATATCTTAAAGATGATTTTACCTGTACAACTGAATGTATAGCTGTCTCTCTTTTTGTATGTCTCTCTTTTCATAACAGAAAATTTTACAATCAGCTCTTCAGGAATGATGCTACAGGGTTTGTCCTCCAAACTCTTTTGTCTATAAATGCTTCTCCTTTTAAATATGTCTTTTGGCAATATATATCTATTTATGTTATGTTTACAGTTATTATTATACACCCCGAATTCTGTGGTTAATCCTATTTGACAGCATCTTTTGAAGTCTGAGGTGCTGTGAGAATTAATGTATTATGTGATAGCTGTGTGATTTTAATTTTCAAATAGGACCAGAATAAGCAAAATAATATATTTACATCTTTGTTCTTAGTGCTTAGAGAACATAGACTCATAGAGCCAGGTAGGTTGGAAGGGCCTTCCAGAGGTCAGCTAGGCCGACCTCCTGCTCAGAGCCAGGCCAGTTAGAGCAGATTGCTCAGGGTTGTGCTTTGAGTAGTTATGCTTTTTGAGTGGTTATGCTGAGTTATGCTTTGAGTAGCTACAAGGATGGGAACTCCACAGCTTCTCCGGTCAGCCTGCTCCAGTGTTTGTCCGCTCTTATGGAAGAAGTTTTTTTTTTTTTTTTTTTTTTTTTGCCCCTCCTTGTATCAAGTCAGAATTCCAACTTGTGGCTGTTGCCACTTGTCCTTCCGCTCTACAGCACTGAGAAGAATTTAGCTCTGTCTTCTGTGCACGCTACTGTTAGGGAGTTGTACGTAGCGGTAAGATCTCCCCTTAGCCCTTGTACATCATGTGCTGCAGCCCATGTATCCATGTACATAAGGTATCCAGAGTGTATACTTAGTTTTGAATAATATTTTTATTAATGAATTACTGTAGTATGCTGTTCATGTAGTCTTTGCCATAATGAAATACATTTACCTCATACTGTGGCATTATTGATGGGTGTTTCCAGTCTTATGTGCTGGTGGAAGAATTAAACATCTTCGGAATGAAACTCTCCAAAGTATTGTTGGCTATTGTGCAGTAGCATAACCAGGTTGGAATCTTTGCACCTATTTCAGGGAATTTGGGAAATGTGGGAAAGTAGGAAGGTCACTTTAGTCTCTTAACTATTTGTGAAATGGTTTACTTAGGAAGAGAGAAGAAGAAAAAAAGGAAAAATGTAACTACAAGCCAAGCTAAAGCTATTAAAATGTGTTAGGAGTTTTCAGAGTGTTTGTGGCAGTTACAAAACTGTTATGGTAACAGTCCCAAGCTATTAAAAGGGAAGCCCATATATGGAAAAAAAATTGGTTTGATGGGACAAAGTTGCCTCTCTTCCTGTGTATTTGGTTTCTGAAGCATATTTGATAAGCCTGAGCCTTAGCAGTACTGGGAAATTGCCCTTTGTGTTCATGCTGGGACAGCTGCCTAGGTGCAACCCCTTGGTATCAGCAAGCAAAGCTACTGTGTTCAGTTAAACCGTACACATTTTCTCCTCTTTTTTTCAGGAAACAGAGGCTTATGACATTTTACCTTATCTGCACAAAGAGTTTGAGCTGGGACTGAGCTAGCATTCCTGGCTAGCCTCTGGAGATGTATCATATTTGCAGCTCTAAGCATAGATTGAGTCTGAATCAGCTTGGCAGGGTGACAAGAACATAGCTGTCGTCACATTGGCCAGGCTTAGCAGTATCAACATGGTTGTGACTACTAATGCTTCTTGAATGCTGAAAGATCATCACCAAAATACTGATCTTTCTCCTTTGATCCTAAAAGATGTTCTAAGGAGCCAAGCAGAACCACACTTACAGACCCTGATGAGACAATTTCTCAGTTTCCTTAAGAAATTAATCCTGGTCCCTACTGCTCACAGTGTTTCAGTTCCTCCTTGTCCATTATATCTTTTTCTTTTCTTGTTTCCACCTTGGTGTATGTCCAGCTAGAATAACTTCAAATTACAGCCCTCTTTTTGTGTCCACTGTCAGAATCAGGAGCAAGACCCCAAACCTTGACCTCAAAAGATTTTCCCTGTGCATTTTCCACAGAAAATAAATGTAAGCTATCCAGATGTTTTCCAGAGAGGTGGTGTTCAGGAGTCTTGACTTATGTCTGTTCAGAGCCAGGAACTGTTTGTTTGGTTGGTTGGGTTTTTTTCTCCTATCACTTGCTCCTTTCTTCTTTGGGAATGTTAAGGCAAGCTTTTTTGAGCAGGGATGTATAGATCAGTGCAGTGAACCTTTATCTTTGTTAGAAAGTCTGTGAGCACCACCGTTTACTACAAAGCTATGAGGGTGCTGGGCAGTTCTTTCAAAATCTGCATGACTGCAAAATAACTTTCACTTACTCAGCCTAGCTTTTTATATAATAGGCAAATAGAGGAACAAAGATTGGTATTAATTTGAAGACATGGTTTCCATTTTATTTTTTTTCTTTTTTAAATAGAATTCTGGGATTGAAAAAGCATTTTTATTTGATGTAGTCAGTAAAATCTATATTGCAACGGACAGTACTCCAGTGGATATGCAGACTTATGAACTCTGCTGTGATATGATAGATGTTGTGATTGACATTTCTTGTATATATGGGTAAGTAAATTGTTACTTTTTCATAGATCTGTGTACCTAGATTCTGAATGACCTCAAAATTAGAATGATAAGCAATAACAAGAATGAGTAATTTGTCACAACAGTCAGGGCTGGGCAGGAGGAGGAAATAGCAGCTCTCTGAGGTACAGATTCCCCTGCCAGCAGCAAGCACTGTTCCCTGCCACAGCCTCTTTTGTGAACACCTTCCTCACTCTATACTAATAACTTTTATTTGGAGGAAGGAGTGGGAAGTAACTATCTTTAAATAAAAGGAGATACTAACATTATCTTTCGTTTCCCATGGCCAAATTTAACAGAAGGATGCTTTCCATTTTAATAAAAGGAGGGCCATATTTACTACTTTTGTTTACTTTAATAGCTAGTCGCCTCTAATGGCCTCAAAGAGCTGCTTCATTCTTGTTTCAGTCATCTGTTTGTCCTCTTTTCCCTCCAGGGCCTTATTTTTTATTCTGTTTCCTATCCTTTTCCATTAGCAACTGTAGAATTTCTGGAGTAGCATGTACATCTCCTTGCAAGCTGTATAACTGTTTTACGTGGCTTGGCCCTTGGCCAAATGGAATGCCAGCTATTCCTGGGAAAGGCAGGAGCACATTAAGGTAGAGCTAGTGCATTAAGATGCATAGACTTTTAGGTTAAACCACAGTATACTTATTAGAGAGTGTAGCCTGAAATCCGTACTGATGTGTAGGTTTCTTGCGGTCTTAGAGAAGTTACAAGGGAGAACCATGGTGAAGAGCACAATAGCCATTAGAACTTTGAAAGAACAACTAATCATTCAATACCTTTGTAAAATTTCTTAAGTTTATATATTCTACTATACCTTTCAGATTTTGGATTCAGTCCAAAATCAGTACACTAACTGTACAAAAACTTGTGTTTTGCAGAGATGTACAATACAGAATTCTGATCCTGTGGCCTTTTTTTTGTACAGAAAAGGAAGCTACTGTTTAGCCCAAAAAATAATGCATTTAGTTCTTATTTGTACAGCACTTGTGGGCCTTTCCTTTCACAAGATGTCACTCTGCCACCGTCTTTGCATAACGGTTTAGTGTTTGTCACCAGAAATCTGTTTGTCTTGTTTTTTAGATATAGATATGTGGTATTGCAGTTCATTTCTCTTCCTCCTTTCCTGAAGCATCTGTGGAACTTGCTACCTTAATATATTAATGATGCAATAATTCTTGGAGATAGCTGACAGCTACCCATTTAACAACATCTGTGCATGCATTTAGTAGGGAGGCTGAAACTGCAAGGCACAAAGCTTATGTGGTGAATATCATCTGTGAAGGAGAAATCTCTTTTCACAATGTTGCAGTGTTGCAAAAGCGAACATCTCATGAAGAAGGTTTCATGATGACTTGAACTATCAGTGAGCTGCCACTGCACAAGCCAGGTTACTGGGCTTGGAATTATCAGTACAGACTTACCGTTTCACATATTTTAGATAGTCATAGTATAGTTCATTAATAAGAAAACAGACAACTTTGTGATATATGGTTTGCAAATAACAGAGAAGAATTTGAGCTCCAGTTCAGCTACTTGGCTGTTGAGAGATCTGATTTCTCGCCCCAGGTCTCAGATTTGGTGTGCATTTGGATAAATGGTTTAATCTCTATGTCTCTTAGTTTACACTGTCTCTAGTTTAAAGAAGTCTCCCTAAAAGGTTGAAATGAAAATTTCTTAGTTTGAGGTTATGTGATGAAAGAACCAAAGCAGGATACTTTTGTTAGCTCGTCCGGTGGCTTACCTTGTTTGTGTGTGTGTGTTTTTTAATTATTATTGTTATTTTAATATTGCACTTCAGGCTCAAAGATGATGGCACCGGGACTCCTTATGACAAAGAATCAATGGCAATCATAAAACTGAACAATACAACTGTCCTTTATTTGAAAGAGGTGACAAAATTCCTTGCTCTTGTTTGCTTTGTAAGAGAAGAAAGCTTTGAGAGAAAAGGTATTTTTCCCTTGTCTAATATGGCCTTACTTTTGCTTTACATTTGCGAGTTAATGAATAACTCTGTGACTGTCATTCACTGATACAATTTCTAGCTGTATCACAACTATAAAAGGTAAATACACCTTGACAGAGCTTACAGAACATTATGTTTAAAGGTATGAGGTATTTGTGCTGGCATTAAGGAAAGATGAAATCATAAATATATTTGACAAATTTCTGATATCAAAGCATACACAGTTTACATCCAGTGCAATGAGCTTCCATCTGCAACAGTAGAATGTGTCATTTTACCTTAGCTAACGTTGCTTTGTACTTATTGGCACTAGCATATATATTTGGAACAGCTTGCGTGCTGTAACTAAGGGAAAATTATTGAAAGTGGCAAATAGAAAGAAATACGTTCCTGCTTTTCTTGCCTCTAGAAGGAGGCTTTGAGAAGCTGAATCTTTATGAACTGGGCAGCTTTCATATTTTGCAATTAAAGTACATAAAACTTTGTGGTAATCTCGCTGACCTTGGTCAAAGTCAATACTAAAGGCTTAGCTCATTATCACTCTGTACACTGGCATGGTGTTCACTGCGTCGCTAGTCTTAGTCGAATCCCTGAGACTGGAACTGAACTGTGGAAGAATGAGCCATCGTCTTGGCTTGTGTTACCTTCTTGTGTTGTTAATTCCCCTGGCAGTGTTGATGTGTTTGTGAACGCAGTTCTCATGCCACGTTTGCTGGTGGATTGACAGAGTATTTAGCTTTCCTTTTATAGAACTTCGGGTGCTCAGTTTTCTCTTTCACATCTGTACCAGCATTATTATTTATGAACGTTAGATGCTGTCACTTTCTTTTATTGTGTTACGTTGACATACCTACTAACAAGACTGTTCCAGAAGAGATACCAGGTTGAGTAAACGCTCGCTAGGCTTTGTCTGCAACTGTCAGGTTTTTGTGTCTACATAGTTTAGGATGCTTCATGCTATACGTTCATGCTGTACGTTTTAACTGTACAGCTCTAGTATTATGGTGTAGATTGATTTTTTTGGTCCCTGGTGACTTCCAAATAATGTTTTGTCTGAACTCCAGTGAGAGGGAAAATAATTCCTGGGGTGGGGAAGAAGTACAGTGGCAGATTTAAACCACTTAAAATATATATCGTCTCCTGTTAGGGAAATTAAAGTGGAAAACACTACAGTATCGGAGTTAAGAGAGCTTATGGCATTAACCTTGAACGAGGTCATAAGCTCAGTACTGAAATCCTAAAATTGTATTGCAGTATTGCACAATTGGTAGCACTCAGTAAGTCTTCAGATTGAATACCAATATGGCTTTACAGCTTTTCTGTGGGATCCCATTCCGCCCACTCACGTGGTAACTTTGCCTGTTACGCATATGTGTTATCTAACAACATGTCTAATGTATTATTTTTCAGTTACAATGTAAGATGAGGTATAACTGGCTGTTATGAAAAGCTGTTATTTGGTAATATTTCTGAGTATCCATTTCAAATCTTACATATCAAAAACCCGCAAATCCTTTGATTACTATATCCTACTCATTTTTATTGCAGTTATAAAATGACACATAATTTATGAAAGAGTTTAATTTTTATCTTAGTATGCAGCGTATTTCCCTAAAGCTCTTGATTAACTTAAAGCTCCATCTGCAAATGTACTTTTTCTGACCATTTTCTGTAAGACTAGTAAGTATATTTAATACAGGACATAGTGTGAAACTATAATGCTCACTGAATTACTTGTATTTATCAAATATGCTTTTGCATAGTATATAAAAAATTGCCCAGAAGATTCACTGGTTGTGACCTCTAGAGAGTGAGTGAGGTACTTCAGTAAATGTAGCCATTTTTTCATTAACTTAATTTGTGTAAAGATCTTTATTAATACGGAAAACATTTCTGTCTCTCTAGGATTAATAGACTACAATTTCCATTGTTTTCGAAAAGCCATACAAGAGGTATTTGAAGTACGAATGAAAGTAGTGAGATCTCGAAAACATCAAAGCCACATGCGAAAAAATAAAAGACCCACCCCCAATGGGACACCAAGAATGCCACTGTAACTGAGGCCTACTGGTACATGGAGAGCAAAGCTTTTCTTCAAGCTGATGCGACTTCTGCATCTCGTTGCACTGAGTGAAGAGGAAAACAAATGGGACTGATGTATTATATCAATTTTCCCTGACCCTTCAGAAAGCACTGTTTAAATATTTTTATCCAATCATTTTTTTCATATAGTGAGCACTTTGAGCAAAATGTTGTATATATAAGCATTGAGGTGAACACTTGTAAGAATTTTCTTAATATATGCTGTAAACCTTTTTCATGCCATATTAAGAAAAAACAGCTGTGACAGAAATACTGGGTACATAATTTGCACTTTTTCATGTTTTTCTTGTGGAGTTGGACTTTGATAAACTTAGTTTTTATGGTGATTTTGATGCATGTTGTCAGGTAAAATGTATGCTGTAGTTTATTTACCTGCTACAATCAAATCGGTTAGTAAACAATCAAGAAAACTTGATATAATGCCTTTTAAAATTTGTGACAGCTAATACCTAACATTCAGATCTAATTTCATATTTTTTCAATTTGTAAACTGAAGAATTATTTTGAAGTATGATAGCAATAAGCATCTTGCCAGGGATCATAACTGGTAGGTAAATATTAGCTTTTATAAAAATGGCATTTGGCCAAATTTTACCCGGAGTTCTCCATAACACTGGTAATGCCCTCTGCTGGGTCTATTTTTATTCTTTACCTCAACGTATACCACTAAAATACCTTTCTATAAAGATAATTGTTTTGTAAAATGGCTCTATGTTGCACTGGTATTTTTATAAGGCTCCAGAGGAGGGTGGTGTATGTGAAAGGTTGAATTTACATTGCTAAGCTTGTTTTCAGAGTCTGTGCATCTGCAATTGATGCAGTGAAGAATCTATATGTGTTTTCATCCTGCCAGTACAAAAACTTCAAATGTACTGATAGGAAATCCTAAAGATGTTTGCACTGTGTTCTGATTCCCCTAATAGAGGTACATCTGTTACTGAAATCAGAGAGACCTTTAAAATGAGGACTGGAGAATCTACCTGCTGTAGTAATCAACATACATAATTACTTTTTATTTTAATAGTGATCGTGGGTGTATTTGCCACAAGATCAACCAGGACACCAGAGCACTTTCAAATGTAAGAAGAAGTAAAACTTACCTTCTGAATTCCACATTCACTGGTTTTGTTTAATTAATGATATAAAATTCTAGTTCCTAGTGGGAAGAACAGCTGTAGTGAGGGGAGCTACGCTTTGCCCAGTCATCAGCTAATCTGCCCCTAGCTGACACAGCTGTGGAGACAGAAGTGAGGATTGAATTTGAAAGCTTTCTTTTAACTAAGGCAAAGCATAGTGCTGCATCTTTATTTATGATTCAAGAGCCCCTGGTGTTTGCTAGCTTCTCTTGAAAATTAAGAGGGTTTTCGCCTATGATAAACAAGTCTAAATTCAGTGATGGTTTGAATGCAAATGCAAAGTTCCTGTATGCTATATACGGCATGTTGACAGATCGTCAGGCTCTGGTGCTGCACTGAATGCATGAGCTAAAGAACCAGTTGGCACTGAATGCAAAGGCTCTTTCTACCTGAGCATCTGCCTAAATAGAGACCATGGTTTCTAGCCCTTTACTGCTGCCTGATGCACATGGCTTTGCTTATTTATCTTTCTGGAACAAATTGGCTCTTTTGGCACTAGTCTATTGAATATACATGAAAAAAAAAAAAGAGAGAGAGAGAGGTTAGTCAATAGATGGAGCTAGGCTACTTGTCTTGCTTGATAATGCAGTTCTGGGTGCTTGGGAAGGTGGGAAACACCAAAATAGCCAGAAAGGTTGGTCCTGGTGCCAGCGTGAAGGATAATGACAGTAGGTGTAACACAAGCAGAATGCTGCAAAAATACAGAGAGTTCAAATTCCTGTTGGTACTGTCACCACCCATCTTAGGAATGGGCAGCTCTTTTCACTAACTTCTCCATTAAAGTAGAGTTTTCTTCAGAGTTTTATCCCACTGATGGTGGGGAGTAGCTGCCTTTTGACAGCTCTCTGTTCCACAGTGCTTTCACTGAAAGATAGCCATAATTTTTTTTTAAACCCACCATAATTTTTTTTCAATCCACCGTTGTGACTCAATCTTTGTCCTCCCTTCCCTCCTTTCAGATATGTGCGAGTATGAGACAAGCACCTACCAGGCTGTGTCATTTGTTGGACCAGACACTTAAGAGTAGCAGTGCCTTTTCATACTGCCTATGGTGTGAATCATGACTAAAGAACATGGTTTCTGTATGTTTGGCCTTATTCATATTTTACATCTATTCAACCATGCATACCCTCATATTTAGAGAAACTTTCACCTTATTTAAGTCTTTCATTTGCCATTAACTTATCTCTAATAATTCCCTCCAGAATGTGACATACACTATGCTGCATAATTTAGTGGTACCAGATAACTTGCTAGCATATAAAACTTCTAATTGGATATTATTAAGATAAATATAATTTTTCTCAGATCTGTAATGTTCGATTACAAAACTTACAGACTATTACAGTTACCTTTACTGCTTAATTTTGGTATTACCCAGTTTAGGTGATGACTTGTGTTTCACTTTTAGTCATTTTCAGGTCAGTACTTCAGATTTCAATGTGTTAGCTGAAGTGATTGAGCAGTGAGGCAGGCAAGGGATTTTTTTTTTTCTTGAACATTTTATTTTCAGTCTCTTCTTCTTTCTTTTAAGTTTTATTGAGGTTCTAGTTTTTATCCTCAAGGGAGGAAGCATTCCTTATGCTACAGGACTTAATTCTGACAAAGCATTTGTGGAGATAGGTATTTTTTAATTGGAAATCATGCAAGAAGTAAACAGTTTCTGAATCATGTAATATTTCCAAAATGGCTGATCTGTAAGTTTCCATTTTTATGTATAATCAGATTTGTCTAAACATAGGAGGAACCGCTACTGAACTAGCCGTGTCCCTTTAAAATACTTTGTTTTGAACAAATAAACCCAAACCAATGTAGCGTCCCATAGACATTTTAAAGTCCTAATCTCAGGAGCTGAATAGCTGTAAAACACAGGTTCTACCAACTTGCTGCAGTGATGGAAGTCTCTATAAGTAATTCAGTAGGCAGCAGCCCAGAGTACTTAGTGGCCTGGATTCTTTGAGGAGGTAAAATGTGTGAACGTGCACTGGAACATGGGCTACTGAAAATATTACAGTGCTGGAATGTCTTTCTAAAATTGTGCGAGTACAGATGTACCATGCGTTAGCATAGGAACTTTGAAGTGTAATCAGCAGGAGCAAATACATCATTTGAGAGCTCATCTGTGCTGGAACAAATTTTTTCTCATTAAAGATAACAATTTGAGGTTTTCTTTTCCTGCAAGTGAAACCGTACTACAGTGATGAACTCTTATGTAAAGGAAGCTGATTCTGCCAAAGGATTACAGACATCATTTTTTAAAATTACGCAGAGCTAACATTTTCTGAATAGCATAGTATTTCCAAAATTACTGACCTATAACCTCCTCCATTTTTATGCATCATCAGATTAAGTTGAAGAGTTAAAGCAAATAACCAAAAACAGGTCACCATATTGTAGCGACTCTTCTTTAATAAAATATTTATTGTCCCTTTCATTTGCAATAGTCACTGCAGAATATTTTTGTCTTAAATTGACTGTTGGGGGCTTTCTATTTCCCTACTGAACGGTATGCATGGCATTGTTACATAGTGATTTTTGCTGCTGCTGCTTCCTCTCTGTCCTGTTCAATAGAGAAATTAAATAGTTGACATCAGAATCTCTTATGCAAATTCTGAATATTTATTGATAGTAGCATGTGAACTTTCTTAGTTACAGACAGACTTTGCCCATTTCAGCTGCATGGGAAATTAGAAATAACTGAATTTTGGTTGGGAAATTCTTTCAGATTCCTCTGTTTCTTTATGGTGGCATCTTGTTGACGTCCTACTTGATGGAATTCCAGCTTTTTTTAATAATCACACATTAGGTCATGTACTTACTTTCAAATGGCTACATTGAAATGCTTTTGCTTCTGGGTTCTTTTTGGTAGCTAAAAAAAGACTTCAACAGACTACTTTTGTTTATTTGTTTCTTTCCTGATATTTTCTGCCTTACTTTCTCATTTTCTGTTCTCTGATTTGCACGTTTCATTATAGATAGGTGAGATACCCAGTCTGCTTGGACCCTGCTAACCTATTCTCATTGGCTTATAAGCGTTATGAGCTACAGGCTAGGTCTTGAGCAAAAATCTACTGAAAAAAATATTGTTCAAGTCCAAAAGTATCTAAATTATATACAGATATAAAATACATTAAATGCTACTGATGTTTGAAGTTACCATGTGCTTATCTTGACACATAAGCACACATATATGTACGTATTCATATTCAAGGTAGTTTATGCTGGTAATTAGATTTTAAGCATTTCTCAATAGGCTTCAAAACCATTTAAAAGAAAAGATTAGTATAGCTAAAGACATCACGAGGAAAAATTGATATAATACAGCGTAGTCTATCAACAATGTCTCTTGGATTAAGCTGACGTGCTATCTTTCTTTGATAAGGTAATAGATTTTCTAGAGCCTAGTCGGAGGAAATACCCTGCTGAGTACTTTCCTTAATAATGCCAATACCAGGAATTGCTACCAGAAGAAAGGTTTATTCGTTTCTGAATTGCTGAGTACTGGAACATAGAGAACAACCACTCAAGTCCCATTTCTTACATATGTATATTTTTACAAAGCATGCACTATCCAAAATTGAGAAGAGTTGGGATTACAGTTGATAAACACCTTATAGATGGGTGCAGACCCGAGAGAGAAAAAATAAACAGAGTGGCCAAGCTATAGTATACAGGGCAGGACATTTCATAGTGTATTCCAAACTGCCTTCTTTCACAAAGCCAAAAAAAGACCATGGGCCAGTCACAACAGGATGCACGTATATATTTTGAGCCGTGTGGAGGTGGTCTGGGTAAGCTCAGCTGCATGACTCAGTTGCACCCTGTGGTCCTCAAAGGCCCCTATGGTAGTGCCCCAGCAGCAAGTTACAGGACCATATCAACGTTGCCTTTGCTATTGCAGCAGGATTCAGCCTTTATATAGGTTTTACTCTCCACTCAATGTGAAATAAAAGCCTTTCTGGACTCTGCTAAACTAAAGGACAGTGTTGGTGCAAGTATAAAGAGAGTATAAATTGGGCAGGAACACATTTACATTGGAAATGAGAGGTGGATTTCTAAATCAAGAGAGTAGCAGTGTTCTGGGGCAGCCTCTGTTCAGTGTGGGGAGAGCAGACAGCCTACTACTTTCAAAAGGAACCTCAGTTTGCCCATGAAAAGGATTATAAGCTGTGATCACACCAATTCCCTGAGAGGGCAAGCACTGGGGAATGCTGTAGTCTTAACTCACTTTCTCATCAGCACTGTGGGTTTCAGATCCAGATGAATTCATGTCTGCATTTAGGTGTTCCTATGTTAAAGTAGGGGTCCAGCCAGCCAGTATCATTCCATTCATCGCTGTAAGCTTTAAGTTCTTGATCCTTGTAATTAGGCTGTCTCCTTGCTCCTTTCCATACAAAACCTGTTGTCCACCTAGTACTTGCTTCCTTGCTGCATATCACTCTAGTCCTTCCTCAGCTTTCTATTCTTCTAGACAAAACAACCATTCAACCGTTTGGGAGCCAGTAACTCTTTCAAAAACCTCCACACTCCATGCTGGGAGCAAGTGCTGCTGATCCAACTTTCTAATTGGATGGGCTTGTGGATGCTGTAGCAATAGCGTTATAATCCTTCTGCAGCATTCCTGTGGTTTCTAGGAGCCTCACCATCCACTATGCAGTGGCATCACTTAAGGGTCCTAGGACCTGTGATACAATTCCTACTAGTTCTGGGGTTAAATCAGCTGTTACTTGAATTTGCCCATGTTGCTCATGCCCATCCACATCTGTTTTGGGGACTACTTTGATAATAACCAGAGCCATCTGAGCTGTGGGAAATGTCATCTCTTCCAACCTGATTTTCCAAAGAGCATATGCAGAGAACAGGAATATGCCTTCTGGGTAAATCAGTGGCACCAAATCAAAAGGATTTGGATCATATCCTTCACCAAGTCCTTGGGACCAACATCTTCTCTAAATCCTGCACTGAGGGATGCATTCATATTCTGCTTTTCCTGCAGTGCCCTTTTCAAAGACTAAATCATCCTCTGGCAAGCAGAATGGTCTGATCCACAAATCACTTCTCTTTCAATACTCCCCTCACAGCTGGTTGAGCTTCATTTGACTCAGTGTGCCATTTGTTACACTGTCTGGGCTGTCACATCTTTGTAAATGCCAAATGCAAGCTCTCTGCAGTAGAGGCACACTGATCAGCTCAGTCTCTGCAGTCCTGTTCCCTTTGCTCAGCGCTGTTTTCCAGACCTGTTCCTTCAGCAAGTCCGCCTCATATTTCATATCCCAATTTCCTTCTATAAAGCAGCAGTCCATTCCAAGTGCTACAATTCTTCACAAAGCCCACAATGCAGTCACTGGGGTATTTGCTTTAAATGTAGTGCTCTCCTGATAGATTATAAATACCTTTCTTACTTTTCTGAGTGCATCTTCTCCCATGAAATCTTCCCATTCCTATGAACTTGGAATTCCCATCCCATTCCCATCTTTGGAATTTCCTGACAATGGGAGAAGGTCATTCCCTTCTCT